AAACACAATGAATCCAAAAAACACCAATTGATATGACACACCACACATATATACAAATAGTACAAATAACCTCGCGGATCATGTCTTGGTGGAATTTCTTTGAAGAATTGCAGGACTTACACCAGTACGCCTACAACCCTTCACAGGTTGACGATTGTAAGTTGTGGAATGTCCGGACACAAACAAGATTAACCAACAATTACAATAATTGGAACTCACACAATTATTTAACACAAACATATGTACAATCAACACATCAAATGTTGTGGATTCTGACACGACAAACTACCCTTGAAGAACTGTAGGACTTACACCAGTACGCCTACAACCCTTCTCAGGTTGACGCCCTAGGTTGGAAAATCGTCGCAGAGTTCATTTGCTAACTTCCTTCTATCAGCTATATCCTCAAATCTGAACGGCAACACGCCCATGTCATTGTATCGTAGAATATAGATGACCAACAAACACACGACATATCTCATCAACCAAGTGTAGAAACAGAGTAATTTACACCAAAGATAATAACATTCAAATAGTAACTTGAAACTAGAAATGCCTTTATTCGTGCAAGTCAATTTAACAATTACTCTCTCGTTTACACTTGGCTTATCCTCACTAAACTGACCATTGATATTCGTCCTTTCAAACGAACTGATACTAGCATAGTCATTGCACAAGATACTTGAGTTGATGGGCAACTGTTTCATTGTGGATGACAACACCAACGATGACTGATTGATATCAGTTGATGATGTTAGCGGTGGATCAAAAGCTGTTGTTGCTCGGCTTTCAGAAATTTGTCTACCTGCAAGACCACCACCACTGGTGTCTTTTACTATCAGCTCAGGTTTAGCACTAGCATCTGATGATAGGTGGGCTACATGCTGATCACTCACACTGACGGTCTCACAAATATCCATACCTTCCGCAACTGCATCTGCATTTATTTCTACTTCACGTTCAAGTTGTACAGAACTTTTGTTCAACTTAGCAGTAGTAGGCATATCCCTCATCTCATCATGATCAACCAAAGACAACTGTGAAGTATCATGATCATTATCACGAATATTCACTTTACCGTCAACTTCATCATTTTCGAACTGTTTAATAACAGAAGTGTACAATTTTGGTTCCTCCTCAAAAATCCTAAAGGGTTTTATAACTTCACTCTGACTAGTAATACCTTGTAAACTTGTAGGGTCAGAACTGCACTCTGAAGCAGCAACTCTATTCTGTGACACTCTATTCAACAACGGCTTACCAGTTGCAACTACAGACTTCTTCACCGCACCGTTATCGTCACACAATTCGGAGTCAGGCCTGGAGTTTACATTTAGCTTATCACTGAACTTGCTCCCTGGCTCACAGTCCACCTTTGTATGCACCTCTTGCAAACGTGTGAAACACAACCGTGTTTGTCTTGCATCTTGCAACTTATCTGTTGAGGATGTACTACGAAAGCTGTTACACTCACTAGATCTATATGCATTACTAGACATCATGGAGCCTTGTCGATATCCACCTCTCTGAGGCTTATTCGTCATCAATGAGTGCGTTTTACCCTCAGACTGCTCTATTCTATGGGTGAGATCTAACAGACTGGCGAACGTGCTCATAGATTGATTGACGATATCTTTAACCAGTTTCAGGATATCATCAAACTTTGGCTCGATACCCTCATCCTCCATACGGGAGCTTATCTTCACCCACTTCCTTTGCAGTCGAGTAGGTAGACGTCTTGCTATTACTTCTAGTATAAAACTCGAGTTGAGGTCACTCACGCGATTCATCGAAATCATTCCATTCTTGTAAATTAGCAAATTATCTAAAAACTCAGTGAGTGCCTGAGAGTCATCCCGTAATTGACCACCATTACCCTTAACAGCCTCGAATAATTTCCCTGCAATCATCGAAGGTCTTCCAAACCTTTGACGTAATATGCTCAGAGCCTCGTAGTAGCCCTCTTTTGGCTTCATAAACGTACAGCACTGTATAGCTCTTGCAGCATCTCCAGCGCAATATCTCATCAAATACATTAACTTCATTTCATCAGTTAATAGAAAACTACTCAGCATGATCTCAAACTCCTTTACAAATTGTAAATAATCAGCCGGGTTTCCATCAAAACACCGTGGTTCAAATTTAGGGAGTTTGATGTTCCTATTATCCCTGAACGGCGAAACAGTAACATCAACCATGTCATACTTAACATCAGACACATCGTTACAAGTAACAGACAAGTCACCATGACTTACTTTCCTGTTTGTATCCAAGACACTCTGTCCCTTCTTTGACCCAGGCATTGTTGAACTTGACCAAATTCCAAAAAAGTTCCGGATATAGCTTGTTCAAAGAGGACTTGACCGGCACTAGGAAAAATGAACGGCGACTATCCAAACTTTCACCAACTGTTTCAATCCGCCAGATCTGTTTCTATCGTCAGAAACTGTCAGTCTCGTCTCATAAACCGTTAATGCCCAGCTCTCGCTACGCTCGGGCCCACGCTGTTCTTCGAAGATTTCTCAGAAACGCTTAGTTATAACGGACGCGAAAACCAAAACACTGATCTGCCGCTTGTTATTTCTTTATTGTTACACCAACATATAAAAGGAATAAACGAACTAAGCAAACTAAGGTCTGTAAACAAATATTACAATAATAAATCGTTATGTTACTTCTGACGATGTTTCACTCTTCTTTCTGAACGGCGACCGATGAGACGATGACTGTCGTATTGATGCCTCCGCGAAAATCGGGGAAGTTGATTTTGAGCAAACAACCACGAATTGATCGTTCAATCTTTAACTCCATTGACATAACGCTTGTTCAAAGAGGACTTGACCGGCACCAGGAAAGACGGATGGAGACTATCCAAACTGTAAGAAACTGTCACCAACCGTCAGAAACTCTCAATCACGTCTCAAAAACCGTTAATGCCCACCTATTGCTACGCCACTCCTCTCGCTGTCCCTCGAAGCCTTTCATAAACACTTAGTAATAACGGACGCAAAAACCAAAACACCGATTGGCAACTCGAGAATTCTTTATTCTAACGCCAACATATGAGCAGCATAATAACCAAGGTCTATGAACAGATATTACAATAATAAATCACGATATTACTTCTGACGGTTTTGTACGTGCTTTCTGAACAGCGATCGATGAGACGATGACTCGTGCATTGATGCCTCCGCGAAAATATAGGGATGTTGGGATTGAGCAAACAACCATGAATTGATCGTTCAATCCTCAACTGCAGTGGCAATTAGAAAGGATGATTTATTTGATTCGCGTTTAGATTTTGACATCGATTTATTGGGCCGTAATCCTCGGGCTCGGACAATATGGGCATTCTGTATTCCACCGCTAATCAGCATACACAAATTGCGTCGGTGGCACAGTGGTTAGGGCTCTCGCCGACAATGCACATGGTCCGGGGTTCGAGCCCGCACCGACGCACAGCTGACATCGATGGTCGGCCTGCAAAATTTGGGCTACCGATATCCATGCTAAAAATTCCATACTTGTACCGAAAATACAGTGTGGAATCTAGCTGTAAATCAAAAAAAAATTAAATGGACGTATACTGCTGATTTTTAATTTACTTATAAATCCTGCATGAAGTAAACCGTATTTTAGAACTAAATATGCTGAAACTTTTTGTAACATATGTTCGCAAGTTGTCTGGAATAATGCTTTACCATTACTACTGACGCCCAGTGTCTGCCTATGGCCCCAAGTGTCCGTTGAGTAGAAGCGATTGCATATGTCATATCTGTCTGATGGTTGATGAATTCTCCTCGGAATTAGTCTTAGGGTGTGAACTTCTGCTTAGCTTTAAAGCCTAAATCAATACTGAATATCATGCTGTCACTGTATTAGATTCCAAGTTACATTTCGGGTTTGATTGTAATACCGCATATTTGCAGTTGACCGTTAATGCAGTTAATACAACTTCGATGGGAAAAATGTTAACACCTGTCCCTGTGAAAAACAAAGAGGCCATGTGTCAGCTAACATCAGACATTTCTGAAGTAATCTTGTGGTTAACGGGTGACTTGAAGAGAACGATAGCTATAAACCATACTACTGACACTGTGGTCTATGCAAAGCTGTGAAAGAGGAGTGTAGACGTAGCTAAGATCCTCCACCGACTATATTATTATTGACTATTATCAGTATAATTATTGCCAGCATTACTGCGATTATTACTATCTCGTAATTTGGTGGCCTATGGATGTAGGGGGTGATTTCAGACACATTAGAACAACAGTCTGAAAACTTCGTATACACTCACACCTCTTACATTCGGACCGACCAAAGCTAAAACAGATGGCCAGAGAAGATCAGCAACAGGGATCTCTGGGACCGAACCAACCAGGAACCGATTGTGCAGAAAATAGGCGGAAATAAATAGAGATGGATTGGACATACTCTGAGGAAGCCATGAATTGATATCACACGCAAGGCCATCGCTTAAGTGGACTCCGAAAGGGAAGCGGCGAGTTGGTCGTCTACGGGTGACTTAGAGGAAGTCATATGAAGAGGAGGTGTAAAGGTGTGGGCAGACTTGTGGCCGAATGAAAATTCTAGCAGAGAACCGAACGCAATGGAAAAGTGTGGCTGAAGCCCTATGTTCCTCTAGGAACTAAAGGAAATAATAATAATTACACACTTAGAAAGAAATCAGTCTGACTTGCAGTAGCTTTTAATAGCGATATTAGACTGTCAGGAGTCGTCCTGTCATCATCAAGGTGCTTGGTGAGTGACACTTAATATTGTATACACAGTAGAAACAGTCTTAACACACCTCATACTACATACAACATATAAATAATCCCAATACTACTCTTGGAATCAACCAAAGCTACGACAGTCGATTGGCGGGACGAGCTACGGGGACGTTTACTGAAGATTATGAACCTTAACCTAACAATCAAGAGGCCAACACAAAGAAATCAAATTGATTTATGCTAGCTCGTAAAAACTAAATTGAACATTGAATGTGACCTTAGCGGAGTTTCGGAAGTTTGTTGGGTTTATATTTACACTCAGCCTATACCTTCCGTTTATTAATGAGAAATCTAACCTAATTTTTGATGAAAACCCCGACTTCTACCTTGCCTTTTGATTGCGACATTAGTGAGCCTGCAGTAAGAATGTAGTTGTACAAATAGTCAAGATATTTAGAGAGTTCCTCTTGTTTATGATGGCGCACATGCTGAAACCCCTTGTGGTAATTACGCAGAAGCCATTCGTCTTTTAAAAGATGTGAGTCCTTATTTCGTTTGTAATAACATAGGCTGTAAATGAAAGTTTATACACTTGGGAGACATTTCCTGTGCACTTGCCCAAATCTGTCTTGTCCCTGTCTGCTAATGAAGTTTGTGTTAAACATTTTGGGGTGATAATTGTTTATAGGATTCTTCCATTTTGGATGTATTCCGTGATAACGAAGTCGAAAAGTGTGAAGCGTCTGCTAGAAAGTGTTATCGGGACTTGAATAAATTAAACAAAAGCCAACTGCGAGATGTCCGTACGGATGCACGCTTTATCACCCCTTGCAATACATTCACAGGTAACTTTAATTTTTACTCATGATTTCGACAGGCGAGGTACATTCATGGAAAATTTCACCTTGTATATTGAAAGGAACTCGTAATATTTATAAGGATTTCAACAAAGTGAATTCTTATTATTTTTTATTGTTTTTTCCCCTTAGGGTTTGTATACAGCCTTATCTGTTTTGGTAGTAACATCTGTGGACTTCATTGAGAATCCTAATTTCTCTATTTTACGATCCCTGGCCGACTTAGGTACTACTTTTCGTGCTCTATTAGGTAAGTTTCCATAAATATTAAGCTTTTGGTATTGTTGTGGGTGCTGTGGGCTTTTTTTAGAACATGATTCAGGCAAGCAAGTAAATATTGTCGGTAACTTCTCACCAAGCTTTACAAGTAACTAATAAAACAGCTGTCATAGTCATTTGATATGAATGTGAATCTATGGAATCACGTATGATAAAGGAGTATTAAAATAGAATAACAATAAGTTGTGAAACCAAGATTAAAATATACATCTTTAGCACAGTATGACATTGATAATGCAGTTAGTGGTATAAATAAATATATTTATCAAGTATCGCTAGGATAACTGTTTTAGGTTAAGTCAAAGGCATTGGGAGGGAAAGGGATCAGACGAACGTTTTCTGAAAACAAGGATTGTAAAGACTGAATTTCGATCAGTCTTGTTCTTCATATCCTAAAGGTGCACCGGTATGAAACTCTTGATTGAATCTACGGCTCCGTTACTTTAAAAGTTGGACTATGCGACGGTGGGCTTGCCGAGTCGTTCTACTTATAATCATAATAATAATTTACTTTATTCCAAAAACACTACTTGTGATACAGAGTGGAATTTTCAGCATTAATCACAATATCGCATCTAATTTCCTCAAATTATGGGTGAAATTAATCACACAGAAAATCTTCCACATTTACAATAAGGGTAATGTCAAAAACATGCAGCATTTAAAATGGAAATACTAATAATGATAACAGCTAAGGTAATAATAATAATACAAGCGAAAATTGCCATGGCTTGTTACACACAGTATTGTCGATGCGATATAGAAATCCTAGCATGTTTCAAAATATTGAATATAATGTTCTCTTTACATGATATGGTGAGGGGAAAAACAAAGGTTACAGCAGTCATAGAGATAAGTTTGTTCTTGCAATTATGAGAGTAAAACAAAAAAGCAACAGGACCACAAATATAATAGAAATAATAAAAGTAAAACTTGAAAGTATATAAGGATCGATGGAGGAAATTGTTTATTTACTAGATGAAAAAAGGTTCGTTAATTCTTACCTGACACTATTTTCATCACATAAAATACGTACCAAGTGTGGTATCATAGAATTTCTATGCTTAGACGGTATGCAGCTGTATTCACAAAAACAGTTAAATTTCCAAGTGCACACTAAATTGGTCAGATCCCTGTAGCTTCACCACCTGCGTTAGAATTATACTACAAGTGGTGAATTCTTAACTGCTGCACCAAAGAATGTATTAGCCATTATTTTTCTGAGTTTCGATGCCAGTAATTCAGTGGCTGTCTCCTGTGAACGGTAAAGTCATACGTATACGTCTCTTCTGTACAGTTTGCAGTCATTTCTCTCTATCTGTTCTCATCATGGAGACTAAAAAATTTCTCTGGATATCCGTTTTCATATCTTCTTTTTTCCTTATTTCATCATTAAAAGTGTCGGTTGTGCAGATTTTTCTAGCACAAAACGTCAGGATACTGGTGAGATCTCGTTTGCATGCAAGACGAACAAACGACTTGAAGTGGGTGTATTAATCTACCCGTTACTTTTTTCGGAACATAACTCGCTTAATATTCCCATCTTGTTTTCAGGACATCAAAAAATGAAAGAACTTTGTCTTTTTCTGTTTCGTATACCCACTGTTATTCTACTTACATCCTCCTTGATTAAACGTGATTCCGTTGATCCTTATTATTTCAAATGTGTATGACAGCTATTGTATTAAGTAATTGTTAAGCTTAATGAGAATTTTCCGGCAATACTTATTTGCTCGCTTGGATCGTGTTCTAGAATAATGGGAGCATGTAAACTATCTGCTGTTGGCAGCTCATACTTTACTAATTAAAACCAATTAAGTCAAGTTTCAGAAGTTTTGAGTCATAACTGTTTCCACAACCGTGTCAGAGAATTAATCGAGTGATGTATTGGATCTTTCTAATTAACTGTACTTTTAACAGATTTGTTCTTTGGTTGGCCTCAAGTTAACAGTGGTGATATAGATCGTAAACTGTTAGAAGAAAGACTTCGGTTTTTGATATGTGACCTTTCAGTCAAAGTGAGTGTAATTTTGGTTTCTAAATGTGAAATATCTTTAATAATCAACTATGTGCTTCAGTATAATGTTCATTCCTATTCTTGTTGGAATGTTCGTCATATTGTACTCATTATGCATCTGATTACTTCAGGCGTTTGTGTTTAAGAAGTGATTCTATTGATTTTCACTTTGTGATTGTATTAATGATTTGTACAAGACATGTAAGCGAACAATATTGTTTTCAATTAGTTCTTCTTCAGGCTTTACTCTAATTTATATAGACTTATATATAAAAACTTTTAACCAATGACGGTGATTTTATGGATCAAATAATAATAATGTGTTAAACGTTTTGAACGAAATTAATAACGGTGATTATAATGGCAACAAAATATTCATAATAAGGTTTATGTAGGTGATAAGAATAACAAAGATAGTATATGTATATATGTGTATAAATCGGCCGAACAACTAGACAGCTTAACAAACGCATTAATAAGCATCTTCCTTCATGGTTCGGAAAAGGTCAAATAAAATCCATACGAAGTTCTGTTTTGGCCCATTTGATTGATAGTGGTCACCAAAAGGACAAAAATAGTGTCTTCAAAGTTATTTACCGCATTCCATCGAGTCTTTTGAACGGAATCAGAACCCGTCTTTTACACTTAGCCGAAGCTATGGGAATTCGAGAGAACAATCCTAGTCTTTGTATACAAAAGAAGTTTGTTCTACCTTTGTCTCTCCTTTGGCCTAGGTGAATTCTATTCAAAACTTTCCCACCCTTTCTTATTTTCCATCTCCTTCGTACTTTTATGATATTTATTTAAACTCAGATTATCGTTCCATTTCACCTTTTAAGATTTGACCTAATTTATTTAATTATTGAATTGTCTACATATACACATATATACATATACTATCTTTGTTATTCTTATCACCTACATAAACCTTATTATGAATATTTTGTTGCCATTATAATCACCGTTATTAATTTCGTTCAAAACGTTTAACACATTATTATTATTTGATCCATAAAATCACCGTCATTGGTTAAAAGTTTTTATATATAAGTCTATATAAATTAGAGTAAAGCCTGAAGAAGAACTAATTGAAAACAATATCGTTCGCTTATATGTCTTGTTTTAATGATTAGTGTTTTCACTTACATCTCGAAGTCGTAAACTTTTTCTAGACATCCACTGATTACTCAATGAGATTCGGCATTTTGATAAACATCAGTGTCGTATTATAAAATTGGTAAATCATAAGCGCCAAAAGTTGCATTATACAAATTTATATGTAAGGGATAACTGGTTAGCAGAAAACTCATCCATTTACATTGTTGAATTAAGTTGACTTTTTATTATCGAATTGCAGTTTCGTGTTTTTGTGTGGTAGCTAAGATACTCGTAGGAGTTCAAACCAAGGTAGGCAGTTGTTTCAAGATACCAGTCGAGCTTTAATCTTGACGTTTAACCTGCAAGGGGATAAGAGCGTATCAGGAGCTTCATTTTTATAGTTACTCAGGACCAATTCACTCCATGCACCAGTATTTCTTTTTGAAACCTAGAATTTATTTATGTAAATCATTTTGCTAAGTTAGGTCTTTTTAACCCACTAGGGTCTTAAAATCCATTCACAGCTTGGTAGTTACTGTATATTTAGTCTTTCCACTTTTGTAAAGGTACTTCTGATCTATGGAGGCACATCTGGTAAACAATTTAAGCTCACGACTAAATGAGAGTATTGAGAGTCAACCAGTTTACAAATCCTTTGTCCTATCAGGACATTCGAAGGGATTGATGTACGAAATTGCGTATAGATCACTATATTTTTCTTGGGATAGAGTTTTAGTTCTGCAGCATTTTGTACTTATAAATTGTGATGTACTCTTAGTGTTCTTTTCTTAACTGTTGAGAAGTATGTGGCTGTTATTTGATTTTAATATACTTGCAGTCCAACCAAAAGAAAAAACTACTGGAATTTTGGAATATATGCGAAGAAATAAGCAAGTTATCGTTTGACACCTGTGAGGTATGTTTTAATCAGAATACTTTTGCTAACCATTTCATTTCCATTTTATGGAACTGGTGTCACACAGTATTACCGGCCACTAACTATTAGCACTAGACAGCGAGGATAATGTTTCATCGGTTTCAGAATAGTGATCATAATCCAACGTGAATAAATGGAAACATTGGTATTCACTATGATTCCGCGTCATCTGGACCATATTTTATGTAGTAGATATTAGTTGTATTTGGAGATTCGCTCTCAATGTAGCTTTTTGATTGCTCCGTTGTGGTACTTTATGCTTCAAGATAAATTATATCTTTGTTAACTACTTTGCCAGTCTATTGTTAAAAAGTATTTGCCTTATAACATACAAAAAAAGTTGGAAACGAAACACCTACCCTGTCTGGATTAAAATCTTTAGTCGAAGAAATCCAAACAAAAACAAAGGGTAAGTTGGCAACCATTCACGGTGAGAGATCACATAAACCATCATCAAAATGGAACAGCCCATCCGTAACCACTCAAAATCGGTACTTTAGTTCTGCCATTAAATAGGGGAAGTGGTAAAAGCAGTCAGCCTCAGAAGTTTATATTAATGTAAAGAGAAGTAGTGTTGGAAGCTCTGCGGGGGACCAAGCATGCTGAAAATAACTTAATGGATGCGTATAAGTATTATGCTGCACGATGCCGAAGTTAGCTGGCGAGTTAATGTACAATATTTTGTGGATAGAAGGTAATAACCTGAATTGATGATAACTACAGGAAGAGGTACTGGACTGCAGAAGAAAGATTGTGTCTGCTTTATTCTCTTTACCTGCTTTTTCGCACATAATGTCATTGAGGATTAAGAGACTACATTGCTCTGTGTTATGTGTATAGGAATAACCTATAAAACAAATGATCAAATCTAACTGCATTTTATTCAGGCATTGTTGTGCACAATTTACAATAAGTAGTTGGATTGCACATTCTCCGATATTCATGGTTGGGTTAGTTTCTAACCTCAATTTTCCGTGTGGCTCCTACTAATTATTATTATTCCGTTGGCTTCCGACTAAAACATAGGGCTTCAAAAGTACATCTCCACTTTGTTCTGTTTGGTGCTGTCTTCTTCAGCTGCGTCCACGATTGCCCATAACCTCTCATCTCTTCACACGATATTCTCCATGTCACCCTAGGACAACCCACTCATCGGTTCCCATTAGGATTTCACTCGAACGATGGCCTCCATTGCGCGCGATGTCATTAGACGGCCTCCTCAAAGTACGTCTGGTCCATCTCCATTTTCTGTTACTTATTTGTTGAGCAATCAGCTCTTGGTTGGTTTGTTGCCAGAGTTTCTTGTTACTAATTCTTTCTGACCGGCTAACCATTTCATATTCCGTATGGGGCCAATGAGGGTGGCAGCTGTAGACAAAGTCTCCAATCTGTTGGAAATTCTTTTCGTGATGCGCTGGTCAAGTTTCATACCCTTAGAGAAGAACCGACTTGACACTTGCGTTGAAAATCCAAATCTTGTTCTTTATGCTGAGGTGTTAGTGCTGAAGATTTCCAAACTGCTATCAGCTTGATGAAGGCATGTCTTGCCTTTCCGATTCCGTGTTGTGTTCCTGTGGTTGAAACAGTTCTTCCTTGATAAGTGAAAGTGGGAAGTAACCTGTGGTAAATCTCTTTCGTTGATGGTGATTAGTAATGATAATTACAGTTATTGCGTTAGTTGGTTATATTTATCGCCTCCGCCTTCTCCATGTTCATTTGAAGCCCTGCCTGTAATGCTTCTTCTGTCAAATTGCTGGTTCCACCTGTAATTCTCTGAGTTTGTGTGATACTGGACATTAGTCATCCTCAAAATATAGATCTTCTATGGTCGTCTTATTAGTTCAGCGTATTCCTGTTCTCGCTCCTCACATTCTGATGCATGATCCAGTCCTCCAAAATTAGGAATACCATCGGTGATAGTAGGCAGCCGTGTCTTACTCCTATATTCACTTCAAACGCTTCGCTAAGTCTTCCATTGTGGATCACCTAACACGTGGCATCGTCATATAGCCAGTTGTTGAATGAGGTTGAGACTTGGGCACTGCACGCCGTAATGTTGAAGCAGTTTCCAAATTACTTCTCGGTCCACGCTGTCGAAGGCCTTTTCGAAGTCGATGAAATTGAGGTTGAGGGAGGTTTGACTGCCATCCTATGCCTTGTTCTGTGATGATGATGCGTAGAGTTGCGATTTGACCAGCACATGATGTACCTTTCCTGAATCCAGCTTGTTCCGGGTGGTGGGCGTAGTTGTGCATCTAGTGCATTTTTTATTCTGTACGGGATGACGCGACTCGGTGTTTCACTTGGCGTGGAGAAGAGGATTATTCCTCGCCAGTTCTTGCAGAGTGGGGCGCAATTCGCCCTTCTGGTAACCTTTCTTCCAATCGGTAGGCACCTTTCCTTCTGCCTAAACCTTTTACAATAATGGCGTGATTACATGTGCTGCAGTCTGTGGGTATGTTTTCAGTGCTTCGGGGCGCTCCAACTAAAGACAAAATATATTGACACTTAGTTGATTGAATTGTGAAGTAGGAATCCCAGATTACGTATTTCATTGTGAATCTACTATAAAATACTCCCCAAATGGATAGAACTGCTAGTGTGTTCAGATGATATAAGTCGCTTTTTATTCATTGAAGTTACAGCTGATAACTACAAAGTACTTATTAAACAAAAAACACCCAGTATAAGATCCATGCTAGATGCAATTTGACGTCAGAATCTTATTCTGTTTGCCATTTTCTTCCACTTAACTATGTAATGACCATAATTACAGTGATGTTTGATGTTATACATATTGTGTACATATTACTACCTAGATATCCATGTCAGCTGTGATTCCTTGCTTTTTTCCACTATGCTGGGCATACTGTGTCCGGTCTCAACTTCTAACTCTACTTCACGTGTTGACAATCACGTAACCAGCTAGTATCGTTAACCTTTCTTTATACAGCAAACATGGCTTCTAGTTTATCAGATGGGTGTTCATATCACTTTTTCTGCATTCTAGACCGGTCATCTGTTAAAACTAGGTAGTCTTCTATTCAGAACGTGTTAAATATTAAGCATACTTGTGTTCAAGTTAGTTTTTATGTGAAAACGATGACCGATAAAGAAAACAAAAGCCATTTTTAAAGCACACTAGAATCATTCACCTACTATTCAATGCCTTTCTCATTATTGATTTAGATTTATAAGACCTTGGAAAAGTAGATTAATAAGTAAAGTAAAGTGATACCAAAAATCTGTAGAAATTCACTAGTTAAGATGAATTAATAAATTGTATAATTGAAGTGTCCCAGTGACTTCATAATTGTAGACTGTTTGTCGACAGTTGAAATTCAAGTGATTTTCTCACCACACCTTACTAGTATCACTAGAAAAGTTTTTATAGAAAAATACCAGAGTGACAATCATTTCCGTTGGCTTGTATGATATAATTTGTTATGTTTGAAACTGAAAACTGGTCAAACTTAAGTCATGGGAATATTTCAGTTGTGTGTGCGTTTAATCAGTCATTCTGTATTGATTACGATGAAAATTACGGTATAGATTACTGCGAAGTATGTGAAATTCTTTTTATGAGAAATGTATAATGCACTTCGATAACTGTAAATCAACGTCTGTGACTCACTTATTTTGTTCGCAAACCATAAGGATAAGTAAGAAATTGTTACCATTGTCTGGATGTTTTTGGTATTCACTGCCTGCCACGTTTTCATTATTTATGGTGATGTATTATCAATCCCACTGTATGAATGTCGCATTGTCTATCCTCAAGCTTTAGTTTTTATTTTCTTACAACCTTCATCTACCTGTTTATTTTCTCTGTAGGAAAATGCAGGCGATATTTCTTTACCGTACCGATTTTTAACACCAACTCGTATTTCAGTAGATCTTCGTCTTCATGATCCTGCTTTACTCGAACGTTGTTTACAAGTGGTTGGAGAATTGAGAAACTCTGTACGAGGGGATTGGTTTCAAGATGTTAGAGAATTTTCTATTTCACAGTATCGAGGTAATTTTATAATTTGCCGCTTGTATAAACTTGTGTTTCTTTCACTGTTGCTTTCTATACTGTGTTGTCAATGAATGGTGGTGCCTCATTTAACGCCTGTGTAATTATTGATATAAGAATAAAACTTGTGCACTGTGGTAGAGTGGAATTCCATCGTTGGTAAATTTACCCATAAAGGCCTGTGTAATCAGTTCTAAAATGTAGGCGTCATGCCTTCAAGCCACTTACCGTTTGTATTCTCCTGCAGTAATGGACATGGTTATCACTTATCTTCAATCTGACTTTCTGGATACGTTTTCATAGATGGTATAAGGGTTTCGCTGTATTAAAAAGTTACTGAAGGGGAAAAGATGGTTATTATGATATCTTTTCTTTGGGATTGTGTAGACAATAAACGCTTGCGAGAACAGTAGCCTTTAGACACGTACATTAACATTTTTATCTTCTGTATCGTTTCATTAGAAAGTATGGTAATTACATGTGAGGCAATGTTTGTTAAATTGATGGATGAGGAAAGAGTGGCTGACTGGTTGACTGGTTTCAACGTAAATCTTTGCACATATGTGCAGAAGTTAGAGTTACCACATTCTGCCATGTTGCACTCAAAGCAAGAGAAGACAGTAAAGGGAGGTTCAGAAGACAAATAACAAACAAAAGTGTGAGTGAGGGGAAAACAATAGTAATATGAAAAACAATAGAGTTTTATTGGATATGATAAGTCACAAAGAGTGAATACATTTGCTCCATCCATCATCGAGAACGATTTTGAGCCATGTTACCGATTGTCTCAAACTAACTGTTGTGGATTTCATTGACTGATGAGGCCAGGTATTCGTTTGACCACCACTTGATAACTCTTTTCCAACCTGACGCTGTCAGTCAGCTAACATTTCCCGTAGAGGAAGGCGATGGCTAGGCACACGTAACACATCTCCTAACCATTTCAGTCGATGCAGCTTCACAACCTCATCGACTGATTTCCCCTCCTTACCTAGCACTGGACTGATGTTTCACCTCAATATTTCTTACCCTATTATACCACTTCACATAGAAGATAGAACGCAGGAACCTATGATCAAGGACAGCTAGCTAGCTAGACTTTTCATTTCCTCCACTCTCAATGGCCAGGTCTCACAGCTATAGCGGAGGACGGAGGGGACTGATGAGCGGTACACTCACCCTATGGTTGGCAGCCGGATATTACGGAACGAAGAGTGGTCTCATTGTAGATGAAATATTTGATTATCATTGCAAACCTTAACTTTAGTCGAGATTACTGACTGAGACCGAGTAGTGTGTATCTTTTTAAGATATGCTGAAAACATTTTCCAGCTGTAGAAGGATTTCTGACTCATCACAGTTCATTTAGTCATAGATAATTTTTGTATACAAAGTATGAAGAAGCTAGTTATCAGTATTTCATTTATTGGTGCTAATCGGCGCAGTTTCTAGTTTTGTTTGTATATTATCAAGTATGATAATATATATATATATATATATATATATATATATATATATATATATATATATATATATATATATATATATATATATGCGTCGGTGGCATAGCGGTTAGGACGCTCGCCAACCATGCACATGGTCCGGGTTTCGATCCCCGACTGTCGCACTCCTTTACCTCGCTAAGCCAGAAATAATCCTGGTAAAGAGCAAAGGTTGGGCATGGGGCTAGCAACCCCATCATGTAAAAATAAACACTGCTACAGAAACTTCAAGCCTCTTGCTTAAAGCTCTATGTTCCACTGGGAACATGAAGGAAAAAAAATTATCAAGTATAAGAATACTGGTAGCCAAGGTTGTTTCTCTACCAAATTTTCTAAGTTTTATCTCGCCTTCATGTAGTATGCGCATGTATCCTACCCACTGTTTTCTCATGAGTTTCGACTTATTTGAGAACGCTTATCGTTTTTTCAGACATGGTCTTATCTCTTGGGAGACTATGATAACTAAACTAGTGACAGGTTGGTGACTGCCAGCCAGTTTATGCTTAATATCTTATTTTGCTTTTTGTAAATAAGTCTGTTCCCTTGTGTTTTGTCATTAGATAATAATCTCTCACCTAACAAGTTTTAATAGTCATTTTTAAGTGTATAGTTTGTCAGTATTTGCTTAATCTCAAGGAGGATCTCATTACAGATGGATACCAACTAGATAATTACTAGAAGCCGAGAGGATTGGAAAGCTGTCTCATCAGGAATCGAAATCCAAACTCTGAGTTCACACGGCGACCGAACTGCTGTTCAGCTACTGAATAGTGTTAAATTTGGAGAAGTATTCAATCCTACTCTGTTTCTCTAACGAATATGTGTTCACAAAGAAATTTTCCTTGAAGTGTGATTACTGAATGCGTCATTTTGAGTAGCCAGGTCTTGAAAAATTGATTATGACCTGAAGATATGATAGTTACAGTTTAGTAAAATTGTTTGTCACAAAATGAGACTCAAAGCGAATCTGAAAGCAAATTTGTGGAGTTTTGGAAGTTGTTGTTTTCAAATTCAGCTAAATTTCCGTCTATGAAATCATCAAAATGAAATGGCTTCATGTTAAATGGAAATGCAGTTGTCACTCAACAACCACTCGCATTTCCATGCAGATAGCAGTGAGACATACCTATTAAATGAGAGGGCTAGTGTTATTACTTGACTGTCCAAAACTCAGTGGGTGGAGTAGAGCTAGAAGTTGTGGCCGAGTAGTTCGAAGTCGAGAGCGTAAATAATAGTATTAATAGTGTTAGTGATGATAATGTAGACCACTTAATTATGTGTGCCACATTACCACATGGTTCTTTAGTACAAACTGATAGTAATTTTCAAGATATAATCAAGAAACATTGTTTAGCGGGTTGATTCTAATTTTTTTGTGTCCTGATGGTGTTAATTTTGTCTTTAAGGCCCCTTTTGAATATATATATATATATATATATATATATATATATATATATATATATATGAAATTTCTGAATAAAATGATGTAGATGGTGAATATTGTATCATATTATTATTCCCTTTGGTTCCTAATGGAACATAAAACTTCAACAGCACGTTTCCACCCCACCCTGTTCTATTCAGTCATTTTCTAGCTGGTTCCATTATAGTCCATAAACTCTCATTTCTTCCTCTTACAATCTCCATGCTACACTCGGAGGCCAAATTCTTCGTTTCCTATTCGGGTTCCACTCGAAGGCGGGGTGCGTATTATTACCCAATAGTCGTCTCAATGTCTCTGTCTCCAATATCTTCTGTATATTTGTTGAGCGATAGGTTCTTGGTTGGTTCCTCGTCACACTTCCTTCCTTGTCGCTGAATTTTTTCTGACCATCTGACATTCAGCCTCAAGAGAAGGCGAAGGAGGGCAGGTACCTGTTGATGAAAGTCTACATCAGCCTGTTAGAAGTGTGTTTTGTGCCGCGCTAAGCGAGTGAACTACACAGAAGCATTTACTTGACATCAGTGTCGAGGATCAGGATCTTGTTTCTTAATTTGAGTGTAGTAGGTTTCCACACTGATTTAAGAGTAATGATGGCCTGCCTTTGAAATCCACATCTGTGCCATCTGTAGTAGAAACAATGCTACATAGATAAGTGAGCAGGTGACTTCTGCTAGATTCAACTTATTTAATTAGCACTAGTGAAATAAACATGAGCTTAGAAGTTATGGGGAGGACCAGTTATGCGTTAGCATATGAAAAATAGTTGCTAATCGTTGTTATTGTTGTTGTTGCTGTCGTTCATATTGCTTTGTATTGTTTAGGTACATGTATATAGTTATTCAGATTTATTGTAATCACCATCATCGTCCAGTATGGTTTGTTTGTTTCGATTTTGTGTTTATTTTAAACAAACATCTTTGTTTGCGTTGTGTTTTCTATTATTGCTACTATTATTAACGATATGATCACATTTTCATTATCTTAAGTGTCAATCTTTACTAAATTATGTCAATGTGTATTTGTGTAAATATAAGTGTTGCTTTACACAGTTGTTTCACACTAATGTCACTGTGAAATTGTATATTCTAATTTCTAATTGCTGTGGGTAGTTAGTGTTTGCAATAATATTTATTGTATAGTATACTCTTGCAAAAAAGCTACTTTCATACAGTTTCAGTGTATATTTGCTTAGGAAATGCTTGAAAGTTTTAATAGGGTTGTATGAAGATTTCAAGAAAGACAAATATTTAAAATTTGGTTAGTAGGTTTTCAAAAATGTATACTTTTACTATTTATTAAGCTATAGTTGACTTAAAAATACTGTAAATTTATTTTTCTTCTAAATCCTACACGTTCACTTACGATATCAGCTACGATAAAAACTAGATAAGAAACCATTCCTTGTAAGTCCACTCTGATTAAGGTATTGGATTTCTACTACCTCTTTCGAACTGGTAGCCGCAAGAAGACTAATTCTGGCGAGCTCCGATTGTGATGGGGAAGCGAAAGCTACTCAAACGCAAACTAACAAGAAGTCTTCCTAACGACTGTGAACAATAGTGGCCGACAAAAGAGAAAGAGACGGAGAAGGCATCGGCGATTGGTAACACCAGACAACTATCTAGACTTATCAGGGAGACAGCTAGCGAAAGTCAAATGATAAGTGAAACAACCTCCGAGAAAAATGGCACCATAATTAGCTTTCAGAATGGACGATTGGAACGAACGTTGAAAAGAACACTTTGAGGAGCAATTTAACTGACCTACAGCCACGCTCAACCTACTAATCATCCAACACCTCCGTGAATTGGGTATAGACACAGGCCCTCCGTCCCTAACTGAATTTATTAAGGCTGTCACTAATGTGAAAGGATTCAAAGCAGCAGGACCTAATGGAATGATTCCAGAGGTTTTTAAGTGCAATGGAGACAGTTTACTGTTTGCGTTAACTAAGGTACTAGACAGCGTCTGGGAATGAAAGGTAGTCCAGTGTGGGTGGTGTAAGTCGTTGATTATCCCGATATACAAGAAGGGAGACAAGTGTTTGTGTGATA